CCAGAAATCAAACTTGACCTTGATACTGAAGGCAGTAGGGGGCCACTGAAGGGTCTTAGTCAAGGGGTGTGGTCACCATGGCAATGCTTTGAAAGCCCCTTCTGCTGTTCCACTATGGGGAATGGACTGTTAAGAGTGGAGTGGGGACAAGAAGCCCAATGAAGAGGTTGGCATAGTCTTCCAGGCCACAGATGATGGTGGCCAAGACTTGGGGGTGGGGGATGGCAAGATGGAGATGGGGGCTTGCGAGTGTAAAGCAGTCCAGCCCCCAACCCACCCACCCAGAAACTTCCATCTGGCACCCTCCTGGCTCACCCCCTCTGGTCTGGCCCCCCTGGCTTGCCTCCAACCCCTTATCCTCCAAGACCCACCTTCTGCTCCCTTTGCCGTATTCCACTGCCTGTCTGTCTGCCTGAACATCTGTCTGGAGACCCCTGCTAATCTCTCCCAGCTCACAGCAAACATCACCATCTTCAAGAGGCCACCCCTGACCCTCCCAGCACCTCCAAGCCTTCAGCAAGGGAGGGAGGGCACAGCCCCCCCTTTTTTTAGGTGTTAACTTTTACAACTCCACTACAGAGAGGCAGGCAAGGGTGCAAAATCCAGAGACTCTTGAGAGGTGTCAGCTTGAGGAGTTCAGTATCTTTGTTCTAAGACGGCAATGGGAAGTTTGTTTTGTTTTGAGGATTTGCTGTTGCTTTTTTGTGGAAGGAGCGGAAAAATTACAATCAGAACAGAAAGCACATTTACCCTAAGTGAGCTTCTTCTCCAACAAGCCCCCCCAAGCCGTGGGCGCAGGTGCTGGCAGCGGTTTCTAGGAACACTCAGGAGTCTGGGAGGTTGGGTGGCAGGAGAGCAGCCTGGCACAGTGCTGGCCAAGGAGTCTCAACCCCTGCAGGGGTCACTGGGGAGAAACCTCAGGGAAAACCCTACCTGGAGTCCCAGCCTAGGTCATCTACCCTGAGCTGCCACCGTCTGAGCTGTATTCCTGGCCATGCCCCTGTGCCCAGCAAGGACCTGGCACCACTGGGGCATTCAAAACATTGATGAAACTCAGTCCCTGGCCAGTCACTCAGCCCCTGGCCAGTCACACCTGGCTTCAAGGCTACCACGGGTTCCTAGGATGAAGCACTTCCAAGGCCCTGCCACCTCCCCGCCTTGGTTTCGCCCATTTCCCCCTCCCCAGCTGCAGCCCACAGCTGGCTGCTTTCAGTTCAAGGAGGCAAGTTCTCCTTCCCCTCAAAGCCTGACAACTCCTCACCCAACGCCCCAGACAAGGTCGGAGGCCATCCTGTTCTTGTGGTGCCACATACCACCCTTTAGAGTCCTCGTGTCCGTCACCACCCCCATACCCGCACCCCTCCCCCCAGATGGCTAGAAGGAAGGTTCCCCCAGAGGCTGGATAGACCAACTCGGCCTTTACTTCCCTGGAACTGCTCTACGTCAGGTGGCAGGGGTGGCCTGGAAGAGGGAAGTGGGGGAGGTTCTGTCTGGGGACAGGCTTCACAGAACCCAACTATGCTACCTGGGACCCTGAGAGACTCTGTGCTCAGTCCCCAGCTCCATTGCACACCCTTTGGCAAAGTGGGGGCGTGAAGCTAGAGCCCCCAGCCAACTGTGGGCGGGGGTTGAAAGCACAGACCATATTCACTCCCAGAACCAGGCTTGGGGGCATGAGTGGGCCCTGAGTTGAGGAGACCTGGGTCAGCGGTGATGAACTGGCCACCGTCTGAGGCAGGGGAGCTTGCGATGGGAACGGGCTGATTTCTGAAGAAAGGCTTCCTGCCCTGAGCCTACGGTCAGAGATGCAAACCAGCCCCACAGTCCAGCTTTCTTGCCAAGGGAGACAGGAGGCGACACCAGAAGTGACCACTGCCTTTATTGTCTCTCTGCTGGGGTGGTGGGCTGGGGTTCAGGTTCAGAGGTATCTGGGGACAGCAGGTGACTCTAGACCCAAATTATTGCTACTGGGCAAGGTCACCTTGGGGCTTCCCATAGTGTCCTGAGTATGGGTGGGCATGGACATGCAAATTATATGCAAATGACATGCAAACCAACCCAGGATCTTCCAGGTGTCTCTGGTGCAGTGGAGGGTGAAGAGTCAGCAGCTCGCAGCCCAGGAGGGCGGTGGGGATGTCCCGGTCCTTCCCCCACAGTGCAGAAGACCCAGCTCAGCCTCAGGGGTCAACGGTTTGGGGTGGGGAGGGGGGTCCCTGAGCATCAGCCCTGGTTCTGTTGCTGGTTGAGGAAGAGCAGAACATGGCCCCAAGATAGCAGGAGGAAAGCAGGCACCCACAGGGCAGCCAGACAGTCCAAGGCTCACGCGGAGAGGGAAGGGATCTGCCCTGGGTCATACAACAGGCAGAGGCAGAGAGAACCAGAATCCAGGCCTTCTGAGTCAGGTAGAAGCCAGAGTGCCTGAGAGACCAAAGCTACCCACAGTAAAATACACTGATAAAGAAAAAAATAGAAAGCAAGCAGACCAGTCCCTGATCCCTGGACTGAGGACTCTCCACCAGTGGGTCTTGGAGGCCTCTGAGAGCCAGACCCCAGGTCTAGGGTCAGCAGTATCCTTGGTTTTGGTGCTGAACTGACCGTCCAGAAGCTCCAGGAGGCAGGCAGAGCCACAGGGTCCTTGACTAATGCAGGTCAGGATCAGTTATTATTCATAATCCACCAGGAGGCTGGGGGTCAGAGGTTGGGGGTCAGAGGCCACAAGGGGTACACTGCCCCTCCTCAGGCCCCCAGGCTACAGAGAGGGTTGGGGCTTCAGCACACCTGGGAAGAACACAGTGGTGAGGGTTTCCGGAGCCCGCAGGTGGTCGATGAGGATGCGCTGGAAGGCCTTACTGCAGGACGACTGCTGGTGCCTGGGGAGGGCCATGGAGTGGACTTGAGCAAGTTCCCCAAAGATCAGTCCCACCCCAGTCCTGCTGCCTGGATTCAGGTCCCAGTCCTTCCTCATACTATCACTGAGCCTTAGCTTTCTCTTCTGTGAAATGGGACAATAGTGTCTACTGCAGGGGTCCTCAAACTACGGCCCGCGGGCCACATGCAAATACAAATATTGTATTTGTTCCTGTTTTGTTTTTTTTACTTCAAAATAAGATATGTGCAGTGTGCATAGGAATTTGTTCATAGTTTTTTTTTAAATTATAGTCCGGCCCTCCAACGGTCTGAGGAACAGTGAACTGACCCCCTGTTTAAAAAGTTTGAGGACCTGGTCTAATGTGCTAGATTCTGTGAGGATTACATGAAGTAACACACAAGTGCTTGACATAGGATGTGACACAATGGTGACGGTGTATATTCATTGAGCATCTTCTATGTACCTGGTTGTGTTCCGTTCTTTACATATCATCTCATTCAGCTCAAATGAAGATGGAACTGTTATCACTCCCATTTTGGAAAGGAGGCCACTAGGGTGCAGAGGGGTTAAGTAATTCTTCTGGTCACACAGCCAGTGAAGAGAGGAGGAGGATTTGAACCCAGGCCTGACTCACTCCAGGGCCCATACTCCATAAACATTAGTTATTAGACCGCATTCATACCTTCTCCAGGAGGCCTCATCCCGCCAGAACTCGTACAGGGTGAAGGAGGCATTGTCTAGCATCTTCTGAGCAGACACACTGTAGAGCCAAAGAGATGACCAGGCCAGGCCTGGGCTGCAACCATTGCTGCCCACCAGGCAGGGATCTCTAATGGGAACCTCAGCCCCTGTGTTCCTCCCTGCTCATTCCCCAACCTTGGCCGGCCCACCCGGAGGCTAGGAACTCACTGCAGGCAATGGCTCTGGGCCCCTGTGAAGTCCACGTAGCAGCGCAGGGCACGGTAGAAGTCCTGCAGGGCTCCTTCTGCCACTTGAACCTGCCTCTGGGACACGAGGATATGCTGGCAAGAGAGGTGGCCCAGTCAGCTCGGGTAGGGCAGGTCACAGGTGACAAACTGGCTGTGGCCGCCAGGAGGACCCCACCCTGCACGACTTGCATCAGACCTGGCCTACCCTGAGGTCGGGCTCCTGCCCCAACCTGGCCCCAACATCCCTGACTCCATTCTCTTCTCCCCATCACCAAGGATGCTGCCTTGAACCAGTCATTATCTCTCCTGCAGTATGCCACCACTTCTTACTGCCCCGTCCAACCTCCGTCCACACTGCCCCAGACTCAGAAAGGCAGATAAGGGAAACTGATGCCCAGAGAGGGGTAGTGTTTCTGTGGAGTCACAGAGCAAGGACCAGAACCCAGCACCTACCTGCCAGGCCTGGGGATGAGGGGTGGGCCGAAGCTGGGAAATCGGAGATGTGTGCAGGGCAGAGGCCAGGTGGGTAGCTGGCTCTGTGAGCGCCCTCACTTCATGATGCCCAGCTGCCTCTCCCTTTCCCAGACTCACCGAGTTGGGTCCCTTGTTAAGCTCCTCTTCATGTAGGGGTTCCAGGAGGGGGGCCTGTGAGGGGCGGAGTGTGAGTCAGGCACCCAGCATGTGCCTGTCTTGGGCAGATTCCAGGAAGGTCCACCCCCGCGGAGCACTGGCCACGCAGCCGCTCACCTTGCACTCCAGCTGGTCGATGAGCTCCTGGAGACGGTTAACCTGGAGCCGCCACTGCCTCTCAGCCTCTGAACTCTGCCCTGGAGTGGGGCCCGTGGGGAGTTCAGGCTGGGCAGTCTCTCAGGATAAACTGAGGGGCAGTGGAGGAGCAGGCATCGGGGGCACGGCCCTGACCTCCTCAGCCAGCCCTCCCACCCCATCCACCGCAGCACAGCACAGCACACCTGCGTCTGAGGAGCCAGGAGACCGGACGGGTGACCGGCTGACGCTCCACAAGGCCCTGCGCCCTGCCCGCCGGCTGCCACGGGGCCTGCTCTGCACCTCCACTCTCTCTTCATCTGACCTAAGGGAGTGGAGGCTCAGGACACTGCCGCCAGACCCTCAGGGCCAAGGACTGGGGCCCCCAAAAAGGACCAGGCTTGGGTGGGGCAAGACAGACATCTGGGGCCATGGAGGCCCCAGCTTCACAGCCAGCCAGCCTCTCACACCTTTTGGGCTCCCTGCCCCAGAACAAGTAGTCAGCTGAAGCTACTCAATGCAATAAAAGCTGAGGGACTTGAAATGTGGAGATGATGGGTCTTCATGAACTGGACCCACAGGTCGGCAGGGCTCCTCACATACCATGGCCCACGGGCCTGGGCCTGGGCCTCCAGGGTATCTGACGCGCCCTCCAGCGAGCTCTGCAGGGCTTGAAGCTGGCTCACCGTCTCCCGCAGTAGGAAGCGTGTCACAAACTGGTCCACCTTGGAGGCCCGCTCATACTCCTGGGGGCAGAGGGGACATAGTCAGCACCTCTGGACTCCAAGCATATATTTCTGAATGAGGAGCCATCCCTTGTTCCTCCCCACTCCCCATCAGAGCGACAGTGGCAGCATAAAGAGGGCCTGCAGACCGGGCATAAGCAGGAGGGCACAGGGACTAGGAGCAGGGCCTGTCCTCCCTCCCGGGGAAGTATGAGGCCAACTTAGAAGGAGTTATCTGCCATTGCCCGGGCCCAAGGCCCCTTCCACATTGGGGCTACCACCTTCAGCCAGTGAGGCCCCTGCACAGTTAGGCTGGGGTGGGGGTTGCGGATAGGGCAGGTCATAGGATACCCAAAGACCTATTTTGACGCAAAGCAAAACGATGGTGTGATATGGCCCCATACTCACCAGTTGGCCACAAAGTCACAGTCTATATATGCATGCATGCATTCATTCACTCACCCATGTAACATTTACTGAGTACCTTTTACTAGGAGCTGCAGACACGAGACAGCCAAGTTACTGTCATAACACACACCACAGCACTGAGCCCAACCTATATAACCAGCCTCCTTTTGCCCCTCCTAAAAAGGGCAGAGAGGCAGACCATTTGCCAGGCCCTCAGGAACCATGGTCCAGGTGCCTGCTCTCCCTCTTCGAGGGGCCCCAGAGGCACCATCCATCAGGGGCTTTGCCTCCTGCCCATAACCTGCCTCAGCTCAGCCATCAGGGACCCTGCTGGACCAGGCTTATGCGGAGACTTAAGCAGAGAGGAAGCAAGGACTGAGGGGAGGATGGGTGCTCTCATTCTCAAACAGGCCAGTGGTTTCTGATCTCTCTCTCTCTAGACTTCTGTCCTACCCTAGACTTTCTGGCCATGCTCTGAGCTCTCTAAAATCCTTCCAATAAATTCCATTTGGGGCACTTAAAATGACTGGTCAGTTTCTGTTGCTTGCAACCAAAGAAACCAGCTGACACAAGCATCTACTCTGTGCCAGGCCCTGTTCCAAGCAGAATTTCATTTAACCCTCATAGCAATTAGAGACCAGGACTGACCCCATTTGCAGATAAGAAGACTGGAGTCTAGAACAGTTGGTTACCTTGGCCAAGATCTAGTTAGGAACAGAGCCAGAATTCAAACTTAGGCCGCAGAAATCCCTCTGTACTCGTCACTAAGCACCTTCATTATTGGACCAATAATGAAACAGCGCCTCATTTATGATCATTAGCCCTTTTACAGTTGAGAAACAAAAGCCAGAAATCACAGAGTGAATGGAGCCAAGATTCACCTGTGGGTTCTGAGATGCTCAGAGGCTGGAGCTGGTGAGGTCAACCAATGAGGTCACAAAGTGGCCTCACAGGGACAATGCTAGGGCAGGGTCCCCTGGCCAGAGGGCTGGGCAGAGCAGCATGGGCCGTGGACCCCAGTGTTAACCAGTCCTGCCATGGGCAACAACAGTTCCCACAAAAGGACCAAAGTGTCCAAGCAGGTTGGCAAGGAGAGGCCACCCGATATGGACAAGGCCTTGGGGAAACAGCAGTTCTTCAGCCACTTCAGGCAGAAGCCAGGCGTAAGTGGAGGGTGGGAGGGGGCAGGCGGGGATGCTGGGAGCCTAGGCCTCGTGGTCCAAAGTCCTAGGACCATGGGCTATGAGATTAGAGAATCCCTCCTGAGGATGAGGGTCCCAGAAACGCACGTGGGTATGTACGGGGTCCCAAAAGCCCAGCAGAGAGGGTAGGGATTCCAGGAGATGGATGAGACTCGGGAGTCAGAAGGGGATTCTCACAACCTGGATGGATGCATGGGCGGCGGTCCCAGCATGATTGGCATCGCTGGGAGATGAGCACCAAGTTTCCTTACGCCCCCTTTCCAACTCCTCGCCTCAAAACATGCTACTTTTCCCCTCAAGTGGGCAGCCAGGGACCCCAGAACGGTGGACAGAGCGAGGTCTCAGGTCAACCTGGGTGGGTAAGGGTTTCCGAGAGTGGGGATCCCCCTCCGGGGCATGGAAGGACGGCGGGGTCCCGGAAACGTAGAGGGCATGGTCTTGGTAGACAGGCCCAGGGCTGGTAAGGGTCCCAGGAAGAGGGCGGGGCACTCATTTCCCTCCCCGCCGCCCCTTCCCCAGGCCAAGATCCTGCTGCTTTTCTCCGCGGACAAGCGGCAGCAGCAAGCCGA